TTAAGCCCGTGGGCTCATATACCTGTTCAAGCCCGTCCGGGGGCTGGGCTGGGCCGGGTGGTCTTGGTCATTGAAGGAAGGGAGGTATTTGTTAAATTTTTCAAATGAAAGTAAATGGGAGGTTTTTACGATTGTCAGAAACTTCAGGGGAGGTTTTTTTGTACTTACCCATTAAATTATAATGATAAATTCTGAACTATATATTAGGATCCATTTGTTTTGTGGGAATAAGGATCTGAAATCAAGACTAGAATCGACCATTCTAATACCAACCATTTGGTTAAGCAAAATTGGAATCTGACTTCCATTCTTGATGGAATAACACTCCCTCATATGAAGGAGTGGCCATTCCCTTCCCCTCCATTGGGAAGGAGAATCCATTCCAACCAATTCCAATTCTAGTTTGAACCAAACAGGTGGGGGAGTAGATCATTTCAATTAGAACTGTAAAAATTTCAATTTCACTTCCAATTTCGGCTGACAACCAAACAAATCCTTAATATATTACGATAATCTACAACATATATAGCTATATAAAGAAAGAGCATGTTCCAGAACTGGTCCTAGAACCAATCTTGATAGGGTAGGTTTTGGTCCTAACAACCTAGAACCAACCCTTACAGGATAACTCCAAAGTTTTGCCTTGAAACCGAACCAAACCAATCTATGCTCACCCCTATTTAATATGGCCTAGGAACTATCTATGATTCACTTTTGCAAAATCCATGACACTTTTTGTAAAAAAAAAAACAAGAAAAACTTGAAAAATGTGATATCCTCAAGTCAAACTATGATAGAATATTGGCTGCACGTTAAATCAAATTTTCTGCCAATCATGTTCATGAGTTCACATTACACAGGTTTTTCGTACCTGTGTAAATAATGCCCGAATCAAATTTTAATGGTTTAACACCAACCTCACCTCGACTGCTCTTCAATTTTTCGTACACCTTTTTCCCGAAGTGCTGGTTGTCTGCGTCAACACTGAAACAAACCAGCTAGCACACCAACGAGCCAGCCCTCAGTTGGCTCAAATTTAAAAAGTGGCAATGTAAATAATGCCCGAATCAAGCAAGGTTCAAAGTATTGGTAGGAAGTATCGGGCTGTATCAGTACTTTTTTTAGGTTTTATTTAATATGATTCACCTGTATCGGCCTGTATCCCAGCAACCCTCTGAACAATGTCTGACCCGATCCACCCCTAGAGGGGCGTATCGGGAAGCCATCGGCATAATACATATCAACCGATACATATTGATACTTTGAACCTTGGAACCAAATAGACAAAGATTACCACAAGATTTGCCATGGCAGTTATACTAGAAGACAAGGTTCAAAATATCGCTACACCCGATACACCAATAGGGGTGTATCAGAAGCATCAATACCTTTCTTTAATTTTTCATTTTTTCGAAACTGGTTCAGGGGAACAGTTTAGGTCTCCTCCACCCCCTGAACCAGTCAGACACCCGATACACCCAGTATAGAGGCGTATCACAGGGGACCTCCATCCCCTGAACCTTAGCCAGCTAGGCAAGTAAATGTTAAAAAACTTTATATTTTATGTATATTTTACCATCTACTTTCAGAAAAGAATTCTTTCATTACTGACTTCTTTTGTCTAGAGACATCAAGTCTTATATTTCTGAGAAATGCCCACAAATTTGTGTTCTTAATATGATGAATATTTTGACACACCAAGCCTTTTCCACATAGTTGTATATTTTATACGTCATTATACAAATTTTATTTTATTATGATAATACTTATTTAATTTATATGATTTTTGTTTTATTGATTGTGTCATGGGTCAAACTATTGATAATGATAGATTTATGAGCTTTTATAAACAATTATAAGTTTATAACAGTTTTAAAGAGAAATTTTAAAGCTAAGACTCAAATTGCATGCAACTACAACAAGCAGTTATGGTATGAAATATGACAGACAGGGTTCAAAATATCACAACTTATACTTGTCGATTTCCAGGGTCACTGATAGGCTGATAACAGGTTTAGAGGATAATACTAACGGGACCATATTTAATTGCAATATAACCCAGAAAAAAAATGAACTATAAAAAACAAATTTGTACACCGTAACCACAAAAACCTTGTCGAAGCTCATGTTTTGAACCATGTTAGACCTTTTGTTTGATAAGCAAATATGCTGCTACACTTGAGCCTTTCAAACTACAAGAATTACAGACCATGTGACATGATAAAAATCGTATGTAATGACATGACGGAATCCCTTTCTTTTGTCTTAAAGCTTTCTGAAAGTAAAAAGGATTTTTAAAGCTGTATACACAGAAAATTCAAATGCATTGGTGCTTCGAACCATGCTGCTGGACTAGGGGCCTTTCAAACTAATGACCAAGGTTGAAACCATGTGGTACTTTTAACAACTTTAGGAAATAGTACTTGCCACTTCGGATAATTTAATAACGTGACAGAAACCTTTTGTGTTGTATTAAACGTGCTACATAGTCAAGTAAACAAATTGGAATTTTAAACATGTGTCCACTTGTTAAACCATAACCAGAAAATTAAAACGGATTGTATGCATCATGATATGGTGATTGGCTAGAACTGCAGCTCATTCACCCTTTTGTTTACAAGTCACCAATAACAAGGGTCCTGGTTTCATATTGTCAAACAAATCAAAATACAACCTCTGCCACAACAGTTACTTTGGTGGATACATACACAAGAAATCAAGCACATACCATTCCAGTGCTTCACAAAATTAATAGCTCATGAATTTGGTCATTCTGTAAGGAAAGGGATGAATTGGTCATTCAGTAAGAAGAGACCACTACTCTTGATGTTGAAAGTAGGAATCGTTGTTTCTAGATAGAATTGTTAGCTTTGACTATTGGGAAGCCATGAAAATAGGGTAAAGAAAATGGCATTGTATAGATGATCAAGGATCATGAAAACTTCCAACGGATTATAGTATACAAAATAGCTATGATATAAGAGAATCCTGGAAAATAATCCAAAAGCATCTGTCTAGAAATATTTGAAAGTTGAACGTGAAAGGATCGTTTTAAGAATAATCAAGCATGAAAATGAAATAAAGGAAGTAATGGGAGCAGAGAAATAGCATTGACCAAACAGATATGGGAAAATGCCTGGGAAGCACAAGTATGTTGGGAATTTAGTCCCTGCTGGCTGCAATGAAGACCCGAATATTATATAGAGACGCAAGAATTTGTGGAATTAAATGTTTCTTTGGATTGTTCCGTAACTTTTTTTAGCATGGTTTTCTGAGTTAAGTCAACCAGTTCAGATGAACACCACCAAAGAAGACAACTATGATGATTGCACTCTATTGTCAATAATAGACATGACCATACTCCGAAATGTCAAGAGCAACGGATCTAAAGATGTGGAAATAAAGGAAGCTCCCCTACTTTGTAGTATGGTTTTTCTGAGATCAGGCTATATTGTACGTGTCAATCAGGTGAGAACTCAGAAAAGTACCATGGAAAAATGGCAATTACTAGCCACATTGCACTGTAAATAGACATGAACCTTCTCAGAAATGCAAAGCTGAGGGCAAGGATCGAATGGCATATATTGAGTAGACATCATGACGAATTAAATATTCTTGGGTTTCTTGCCTAATTTTGTAACATGTTTTTCTGAGAACCTGCAATGCTAAGCAGATGAAGAGGTGCCTATTAGGTTGCCCAATTTGAAGAATTTCAGCTACATCAGGATCAGTGCCTAATAGCATATTTAACAGATCCCCAACCCAAGTTGCACCCCTAGAAAAGAATTAACGCAAAAAATGACAACCACAAGTATATTAAACAGTATATTGTCAACAGAGACGATCCTACTCAAAAAAGCTGAGGCCAGGAATCAAATAGCACATTGCAAAGCAATGATGCAAGGAATTTTCAGCAACATCTGGTTCAGGTTGAAGAATTCGGATTAGCTGAACGCGTTGGCTGTTCAGCTGGCTGTGGAACCAATGATGAGGTTCCACGCCAGTAATAAAATAAGTGGGGCCCGCACCTTTACAGTGGGGCCCATGAATTTATTGCTGCCGTGGAACTTCATCATTGGTTCCACAGCCTGCTGAGCAGCCATCGTGTTCAGCCAAACCTTGCTCCAGGTTGAAGCCCATTGCAAATTTAACAGATCCCCAACCCCAACCCAACCAAACCCAAGTTGCAGCCCTAGAAAAGAATAATGCAAAAAATACACGAGCTACATTAAACAGTATACTGTTGAAAGAGATGATCCTACTCGCAAAAGTCGAGAACAAGGATCAAATAGCTTATTGAGATGCATTATGCAAGGAATTCAAAGTTTCTTGGTGATGTTCCCTAAGTTTGTACAAGCATGAATTTTCTGAAATCAAGCTACAATCTGCATGCCACCCAGGTTAAAACTCAAGCCACACAGTGGCATGTTTTTTTTCTTTTCCTGGCTCCTATACACTCTGCCCCACCTAGATCAAAAGGATACCACAGAAAAAAAGACAACCACCAACCACATTTCACTGTCATATTGTTGCTAGGCATGATACTAAGTAGATAGAGAGGACAGAAAGGCACACTTTTTTGGTTGGTTGATAGAGTGGCATATTGAGAAGCAAGATTTTCAGCAATTCAATGTCTTGGTGATGTTTCCTAACTTTGTAGCATGGTTTTCAAATATCAACCTATAATGTTGACATACCAGGTCAGAAGAATGCAGTGAAAGAAGGTAACCACCAAACACATTGCAGTCAGTGTATAGTCTATAGAATGATCCTACCCAGGAAAGCTGAGAGCAAAGAAGCAAGAATGCCAGGAATTCAATATTTCTTGGAGGTGTTTCCTAAGTTTCTGGCATAGTATTTCTGAGATCAAGCCACACTCTATATGTAAAGCAGGTATGGAGAATAGCGTGAAAAAAAAAAGATAACCAGCAGCTACATTGTACCGTATGTTGTTTGATTGAGACATAATCCTACTCAGAAAAGCTGAAGGCAAGGATTGATTGGCATGAAATATAAAACATAATTATATATTACGAGCAGCAGTGAGATCAACACAGAATACGCCATGGTGTGAAAATCAATTTAAAGATCATAGAGCAACAACGGAAACATGATGGGATCCACGCTGGTCAAAGATAGGGCATGATAAAACACCAATAAAGGAAAGATCCTATAAGTTCTAGGAAACTGGTAAGAAGATCAGATTCAGCATCAGACAGAAGCCCAGCTCCCAATAATAGTTAGATTCAAGTCCAACAAAATCTTGAATGGGCTCTGTTAAGGAGGAAATAGAAGGAATTCCAGTAACGGAATCCCAAGGATTTTAAGTTCCTCTCTGGAACCAAAACCTAAAAGAACTACAGAGAAGAATCCTCCGATATAGAAAACCCTGAATTTAAACTAGGTTTCACCTTCAATGTACTGGATAACATCCAACAAGATCAGGTGGCCATTATGAATGCCTGGATCAAGTTCTCAGCTGAACGTTTTTGCTCCGGTGTGCCAGATATGTGGACAACACGATCACCACGGGATGATTTTGACTCAACAAACTCTATAGTTGCACCTGAGATCTGGCCCAATAAAAGAAGTAATTCTGTAAGCATGATTAGATTTTCAACCAAAACAAAAAACCAAGGATTATGCTG